AAGGAGTTTCATGTGGTAGAGGGCATCGCCAATCATGACATGGCGGTAGAATGGCATATCACTAACTGCACTTGAGATCAATTGGTGATAGGTTTTTCGCCTCACCTCCCCATCCTCCCCTTCTCCTTCCACGGCCCTCCAGCTGCCACAGCAGCACCATGTAGAATGACCGGAACAACAAAACACCTTGATAGCTCAAGTGCTGCTGCCTTATCACTCACTTCATTTTGCGGACGGACATACGTACATACATACATACCGACATACATACAAACCGGCACACCAAGTTAGCGGTTTATAAAGTAGAAGGATTAGGCCTATATCGAGTAATGTTGCATGTTATCATAGGTTTCTTGCGGAGATATCTTAATGGAAGGGTACGGTGAACGGTGTCCGCAAGGAATACGTCGAACGCATAATCAAATGAATGAGCCACCGGTGGATAAATAATTCATGCGGGTATGTGGTGTGGCAAACAGTTTTATTCTATCTAGACGACACCAAGGTGTTTCGTATACGACTGCCTAAAGCTCATTCGCTCACTTTGCTAATTGAATGCTTCTATTTTTCCTCAACCGCAAGCATGAATTTGGCATCTATTGATGGTCCGTAACTTGAGATTGCTGCCCGCACCCCTTCTTCTTCAATCGATTCTGCCGTTAGAGACGTCTCTTCTTTTTGATGACCCACCTGTGAAAATCACAAGCACGGTTCGGTGTGTACCAAAAGATTTTGAAATCAAACTCGCAGCTCTGTGAAAAACCTTTAGAAACCTTTACACTGAGGAGCTGCCACCGTTCAGTTTCTTGTAAAGCATAAAATACTCAATTTCTAGTCTTTACATGTAGCCTTAGTAGCCTTACTTTTTAGAAAAACAACAGAGGTATCATCCAGTATAGAATCGACAGCCTCTGACTAGAACGATCATCTAACACATTTCACTGGGCCTTGAACAAGGCTCCTGATGCCTGTGTTGTCAATCTCCTCCCACCTAGCAATTCACCAATGTATTGGTTCAGTTTCCGTGTTTTTTCATTAATACATTGACGGCATCGCGCGTTTTGCGTTTCTGCACCGCGTGGGAAGAAAGCGATCGCCGCCGCACACCAAATCCATGGATTTTGAGCTGTAAATACGCAATACTTAGATGCGATGAAGTGTTTTCAATAATGTTCGATCTGTCTAACTTATCGGGAGTTACAGTAATGGAAGTTTGACCGAAATGACGTGTTAAGGCCATGAAAAGGCAAATTTTACTTACTTTCCCTTTAGTGGTTCCAAAATTAATTTGGACGTGGTTGTTTCAGTAAAAACACATCTTCTCATACGAATAGGTTTGTATTCGCTTCTATTAGGTCGGTCCATAAGTCTTGCAACAAACTACATTTAATGCTATAGAATTTTAGGAGAACTCCTGAAAATCCGCAACATATTTCCTGACGTAGCATCAACCTTTGCAATTTCAGCCAACGGTCCAGCTCGTTGTCTGCTTACTTATTATGGATATTACACCGATTTCGCGAGAGGGCTCTCGGTGCCCTTAATTTTTACGAGTACTGCTTGGAATGTTCCGCAAGTCATGCTAGACCAAGGATTGGCCAGAAGATAGGCGAGGGCAAGCTCTCTCAAACCACAGTGCAACGGCGCTTCACTCTGCTCAGCGTTGACTTTTTTTTGAAAATAACCCACACTCCAACCACCCTGTGACTGACAATCACGATGCTATATCTGACGCCGTTGAAAAGGGATCTGGATAGAGTATCGATCATTTGCTAGAGCGATTCCGATGCGACAAGGAGACAGCACTGTGGCATCTCCAAAGACTTGTGAAGATCCGAAAATGTAGAGTTTGGTCCCCACGTGCCTTGAGCCCGATTCAGCTCCAAACACGATCTGACACCGTTATGTTCAAGTCGACTTACTAGGGATTCTACGATTGACCATCCATCACATTTGCCGAAGATGAGGAGTGGGTACAGTTTACTAACAAATGAACAAGCGGCGGTAGTCCAGCTCAAACGCTTCGGGAGATCTTACTTAAGTTCAACCTCGTCCAAGTAGGGCCTTCTCGGATTTTTGGTGGAACACGGGAGGAGTTAAGCTCTGGAAACCTCCGTGTAGATGTCGCAGTCAACGCGAAAGTCAACTATCCACAGCTCGAATGCAACGCTTTTAATACGAAAGAAAAACAAGGCAAAGTTTGCTTTTGTATGACACCGTTGAAAACCTCTTGCTAAGAAAATTCAGGAAAATTTCGAGACTCTGGGACGGAGAGTTCTTCCGTATTCACGTTATAGCCCTGACCTCGTGGCAAATAATGCCCTTCTGCTCCCCTCTCCAAACCATCTCCTAGAGAAGAAAGCTCATCCTAACTATGATGATGTCAAAATCGACATCTGATCTTTCTTCGATCAGAATTCAGTAGAGTCCTACAAGGGAGGCATCGAGCAGCTACTAGTGTGTTGGCAATAGGTTGTAGATATTGATGGAGGGTAGCATGCCGGATGAATGGAACAAAAAGATAATGAAAATATTAAATTCAAAATTCGGCCAGTTTGTTGCAAGACTTATGGACCGACCTAATATATTCCTTTTTATTAGCATGTTTACACTGATGAAAAGAAAACGAGGAATGAACTGAACAGACATATCCGTAAGGTCTGGAAAACCTCTGCCAAACTAAAGAATATTTGGCCTTTCTGTGAGCCATGTGGTTTTTAAGTATGCTAATGTATGGCCTATAGAATGAGTACAAAGACCTTAGGAATAAGTCGCACAAGCGCAAGAAAAAGGGATGACTTGGGTGGGACGCGTTACCGCGTCACAATGTCCCACGAGGTGCGCAAAGTGGGACGCGTTACCGCGTCACGCTGTCGTCAACGTGTTAATATAATAAAATAGATACTGAATGAAGTACACAGCCGAAGCATATTGGAGTGAAATTTCAAATCTAAAATGATTGCTAGAATAATGAAATTCTCTGGAAAGTACTGTTGAACGTTGAAGACCCCAGACAGTTGAACTAATGAGATTCATGTCAGAAAGAAAGGTTTCAGGTATGCACACTTATTCCTGGTATGCAGTGTATGTTTTTCCTAATGGGGAATCGTGCTTCAATAGCGGGAATCACAGGCAGCGCTCCAACTTTAGGAAGAGGTCGAAAAGAAAAGATAGTACGCTCTTCTCTAGTCCGCTTGTTTACATATTTAGTGTTCGTTCTGTTGTAATTTGGAGCAACTATTTTGCTCTCGCGGTCATCAAGCTATTTGAGCTTTTTTTTATTTCGTTTTTGCAAGACAAGCTTATTGAAGCGGCATATACTTCACCACTTGACCGACCGTCCCTGTCCATTCCTACCTCTCTCGTAATCGTAAAATGACCGTGAATCGTAATATTCATGTATGAATCTTCTTACTCATTCTACCGGCAAGTGAAGTTTGCTATCTAGCCCTGTGTACAGCAATACGCATCGGACTTACCTATTCATTAGGATAGCATTAGCTAACAGTTCAGTCACTTCTTGAGTGTAATAAATGGCAACGCTTATCAAGCGGAGTCATCAACAATTTAAGAATCATCCCTGTAATCCTCTCATAAGGCGTGAACTTTAGTAATACCCACACATTTACCATGCCGGTCCATCTGGCGTGCCATATGTGTGTGGGGCACAAATAACTTTTGGATCTCACTTAAGTTCGGGGTCATTATCCTCGTCGTAGTAAAACGGATGAATGGAACTTCGCGGAAGACTACTTCATTTGGATGAGACTGTATTATCTTCCTGGTCGTACCATGCGCTGACAATTTCATGGAAACCGACGAATTGGTATCCAAACATGACATGTTGCAACTGGATATTGTAATTACGGTCAAACATTTAGCCGTAAACGGTACTGTGTCGACCCTGTCAGTGTACAATATAATATTCTCGGTCATGCCATTCCGAAATGGTTTCCTGGAGACCCTCGGTATTGAAGAAAATCGACTTACTGCAGGGATGGCGCATTTGTGTCCCTTGCCTATTAACCTGATTGTTATTTGCACTAGGATATTAGCACATTATAGCATTGGATTCTGAAACGTCGACGTTTGAAATGTACGAGTAAGGCGACTGGTCGACGTTTATCTACCTGGTCACTCAGGGCCATGAATTCTTTACAGCTACGTTGCGAAAGCTAAGTAACCCTTCCGCAATTCTAAATTTCATGTTCGGTTCCCAGCAATTCGCGCGAAATAGTAGTCGCAAGATAATCCAAAGTAAATACAGTCATTCATGCGCTCAACGCCAGAAATTACGAGATTGAACCCTAAAACGTTGTGCAACAGAAAAAAATGCGCCATTTTCAGTCTCAGTTACAAGCATACAAATTCACCCTTCGTCACACTTGTACCTAAGGATATAATAAGTACACGTCACTCCGCCTTAATGACTAAAGGAAGCGATCACGATAAAGGGGAAGCGTGTCAGGGAAGTATACACGACACGCGGAGCAGTAGATTGGTCCCCAGAGATGCAAGGTGTTGTGCTTTCACAACGAGAGGTGCGTTGGTTGTTGAGCAATACTTGAAGAGCTCCGTAGTACCCAGTAGTTAAATTGATGATTTGGACGAGCTGTGTGGCTACGACTACACAATGGAGCAGCTCGCCTGGGAATGCCACCGAACGCGTTGCGGTGAACTCTTCCATACGTCTGCCGCTGCCCGTTCATAAGCGAATCAATGGCCGAACAATGGAGTCCATTTTCTCATTTTTCAAATGACTTTCTCTCCTTTTTTGCTTCTGGCGTGCAATGGAGCACCGCCAGGTATCCTATGTACCCCTCCAAGTCTACTGCAATCGCTGCCTTTGCGCACCTGGCTTCATTACATGTTTCTAGCCTATTTGTTGCAGCTCGTTACTCTTTATCATGAACTAAGCTATCTACTGCCATTTACGCTCTATCTGATTTTCTGCAGAACAATTCCTTTTTTTTCAGTGGTCGGTTTTGAAGCATTTTCAGATGCACATTTTGACTGTGGTTATTGCACTTGCCGTGTTTCCGTCGTGTGGAGGGCTTTTTGGCATATTTGGTAAAAAACAAAGAGTAGTTGTAAAGGGCGAAGTCGAGTGTCATGGGAAGCCAGCTGAAAACGTCCGACTTGTACTGTATGTAAAACATTGGCGTAAGTGATGTTTGAGCACATTTTTTCCACCTTGTTTGAGTGCACTTTCTTACTACTTTTGTTTTCTCAGATCTACAGAACTCTGCAATTATTCATAGGTCTGGAATTTTTTTTATATTCGAGAGGTCGTGCTTCGAGAAATTTCGCTTTAGATGAGCTTAATAAATTCCTTTTGGCTCCGGGAAAGTTTACTGATTCATTTTAGGGCTTTGAATGGTCTCCAGATTGAAGGCATCCAGGGAGGCCTCGCAGGTAAGAAGCGCTGGTCACCCCACCTAGGAACCAGGATTTTGTTGAGACCACGACAATGAGATTTGGTCAGGTTGGATCAAGGTCCTCCACCTCGCGTCTTAGGGACGCGTTTCGATGTGAGAAGGCAGTGGTGCGACCTCTGTATGACGGACCACACACCTCTGTCCTGGACCGCGACTGCCATGATCATTCAACATCGAATCCTAGTATTTCTTTTACCCTCTAACACTCGACTCTCACCGCTTACTCGCCTTTAGATGGCAGGCTTGGTTGAAATCTGATCCTCTGACAGGACAAATCTATCCGCTGTATCTTGAGTGATGTTGATTTAAGAAGTTCTACAAAACTTCGATAAACCTGCATATTCGAAACAAGCAAGAATAGATACTCGGGAAAGCAAGGCAGAGAATCTGAGTATTGTATTTAGGTTATATAAACTTACGATTTTATTGTGAAGGATTGTATTGTAACTTCGTTCCATTGAGTGTGTATTCATTTCACTTCCAGTATACCAATCTAATATGGATAAACACACGACTGACAAAACGGGACTGTTTGTGCTAAATGGAACGCAGAGGTCTATATGGAAGCTTGATCCAAGAGTGCTAATATACCACGAGTGCTACCGTAACAATGTGAGTGACCTTATGAATATTAGGGACGTCTATGTTTGACATCAGCGTAAAAACAGGGTATGTTTTCGAAAGTGACTAGCAGGGCGACACTGTGGGTTATTATTACTAATGCGAACTAATGTGAGCATCGTAAGAAGCTTAGTCGACACTCTAGACTTACAATTAGTTGCAGATTTAATTCCTCAAATTTGCAGCGGCCCTTGAATCGAGGGAGGATCCTAGATACTACATAAAATATACAACTCTTACAAGAAACAATACCTTCGACATTGGCTGCGTAAGCCGAGCTACAATTAGCAGTTCTTCACAATCTGAGAAACTGTCCTAAAGGGGTAATTGATCAAGAATTTCACACCGTCACTCAAGTGCTCCGAACTGATGCGGGGTCTCCTCAAAGTCTGCTCTACCGTTGGGTTTCCTCCCTACTATAATGAAAAATGGAGCAGTGCCTATCCTTGGAGAGAACGTCTCAGGGGTGTATTTGACTGGAGCTGAGCATTTCACCCACCCTGCCACTCTGAAGGAGGTTGATTTTGCAGTTGCATAAGATAAACAAAGCTCGATGGTTCGAAAGAATGATCTCGATTCTTACCCAACAAAGAAAAAGCACCGAGTTTTTATGAGTGCCTTCCAGATTTGTGCTTGAGAAGAACTTCAAAAGCAGCTTATGGAAATACAACAGCAATTCAGCCTTCAAGAGATTTATGCTCAAAAAGGAGCGTGCGCTTTTATTTTCTGACACTCATTCTCGCAAGATTTCAATTAGGTTTAGTGATGTTTCATCTGCGCACGTTCCTGTAATGCCCTCCATTATAACCAAACGTAATCCATCAAGCCTTCATCTTTACCATATCTTTACCTGCAACGATAGTGCAATTTATTCTTGCTTTCCAGGCGACAAAATGCAGCCTACGAAGAACTTCGCTGATCGTTCCTCGTGAGAACATCACTCTTCAGGGAAAAATGGAAGAGGTTTTCTTTGATTACGGAAAGATACCGCTTGAAAGCCCACTTCTCAACACTCTTTGCGATCATTGATTGAGATGAATGAAGTGTTGCTTTTTTCTGTTACCTTACAGAATGACATCTTACATTGTAACCCGAGAATATGAAATTACGCATGTTAACTAAATATTTATATGTGATCGGACATAAGTGCAGCGATGCGAAATTGTCATCGATTGCGACTATTGATTGCATCGAGAATGTCAGTGGGTTTTCATTGAGTGCCAGAACTTGGTTACCATGGAACTGTTTTCCTGAATCTTTGAAATACCATCACAATTCTTTGGAAAAGCGAAACTTTTCTTCTAGGTGTTTAGAAGACGTCGTAACTCGTTGTTCCCGCCCTTGTAGAGTTCACACCGGGCTCAGCACTGAGGCACAAAAGTTGCCTTAAAAGTCTACCGAAAACGTTGAAAATGTTTTTGAAGGGTATCTACCATAAAACTTCTGAATTTTGCTCTTGGAACTCTGTTGACGACGCTGACGATGTTTGTTAAATTCTCTCCATAGAACTTAAGGGATTCATTAGCTCGCATCTCACACAATACTTGTAGGCAGACATCAGAATCCCCTTAAGTAACTGAGGCCAACTGAGCAGCACTTAGAATGAAATCAGATCTTTGCATGTCACAGAATATTTTCCAAATGATAAATATTCTGGTGTGTCATTATGAATTGAGGAAATTAAATCTCAGTTTGTTACACAAACCTACTCTGTCCTAAGATTTTCGAAGAAATAAACAAAAACGACTCACTCACCTAGAAATTACGAAATGGCATTTTCTTCTCTTGAATTATGGTGAAAATGCAATAAAAAGGCTGCTAGAAGCAATAACATCGGATCAAGCATGTGGGTAACAGCGCTCTACAATGAAGGTGGTTGACTGGAAAAAAAGCAGAAGAATTCATCGATGAAGCCTTCAACAAGGGCCCCGTTTACTCCGCCTTGTAATGAGGAAAGAAATTGTCGGGTCATGTACTTGCTGATTTCGAGAATTAGTGCAGTAGAACAATCCTCTTCTGCAGTAGTGGTGTTGATCAATTTCTTTTCTACAAGCATCCTCCGAACGACCACGCTGAGTAATAGAATACCGCACGAATAGGGATTGACCGTCGTCATGCAACGCTACCTGCTGGCTGGTATGCGCATGGAATCTCGTCTCTTTGTTCAGAGTAGACCTTTTTGTGAAACTCTAGCGCCTTCGCCGCACACTTATGAGCCACTTTAATGGTTTTTCTGTATGCCTCTTAGACGTCTATGTTGTCACATGACTTTCCTTCTCAGAGGTATGGCTAAAATGTTGAATAATATATCCCACAGTTAAGTATGTATAGAAGATAAATTGATGACGTGGAGCTGCCAACAGGAAAAGGTAGGTATGAAATTACTCCAGTTCCTCTAAGAAGAATAATAATAATATATCCAAATATTAATTGATAATTCTGAAAAAATGGTGATAATTCTAATAAATTTCTTCCATTGCCTACATATGTACCTTATACACTTCTTAAGAGTGTGATGAGTTTTTGAGATTTCGTTGGGGTTTGCTCGCCTTGGTAACAATTTGCTACATATTGTCCGCAAGGAATAATGTGAGCGCATAATTGTAATGCTGAGTCACTCAAAAGTGAACACATGCTAAGAATGTATACAGTTGAATGCAGTCTAAATGGTAGCGTATTACTGTTTTGCAGACATAAAATAGCAATATCCGAAAACGATTTGCTTATTTTACAGCCCATTCTTTCCGCTCGTCCCGCCACACCACAGAGTATTACAATTGCTCACTCATGGCGTCCTAAAGCGTGTAACTGATTTTTCAACAACTTCAGAAATTTCATCCAATAATCTTCATTCAAACGGTTGGATGAAGTGAGCGAGGCGTGCTCCTCTCCTGCAGCTTGCCAATATAATCATTGGCGTACACAATAGCTGATAGAAAAACGACTGCACCGTAGCTGTCCCTCTGCGTTAGATAATGCAGTAGTTCGACGGGCCGGTCGAGTGACATGGTTCTGGCCGCACTTATTTGCAGGCTCATGCTGTGTCCGTTTGTTACTCAAGCGAAGACATTTAAGCCACTCAAATTGCCACTCAGATCAGAAAGAGATTGTACTATTCGCACTAGCCTTTCAAATTT